TCTGTGAAGGAAAAAACAGAGTTAACGTTTCGGGTACGGTGACCCTTCCTCAGAACTGTTCTGTTCTCAGAACTGACCTGAAGTGTTAACTCTGTTTTTTCCTTCACAGATGCTGCCAGACCTGCTGAGCTTTTCCAGCAACTTTGTTTTTGTTCCTGATTTACAGCATCTGCAGTTCTTTTGGTTTTTATTGAGTTGAAAGAAAGCTGTTGGTTAACTTCTTATGTTATGCCAACAAGGAACACTGGTATTTGAGGAGTCAGAAGGGAAAACAGAGGGATAAAGCTGGATTTTGCCAGTGTGCTTCTGAAAGGTGGCCTGTGTAAAGCAGATGTCAATAAACATTAGCTTGTAGACCTGCAAATGGTGGAAACTCTGTATAAAGGCTTCGGTCACCTGATATTGCTAGAATCGAGTGTTGAAATACCATCACAGGACAGACGCTAATTCAGTTAGAGCATGTAAGATTCAAACTAAGTAAGGGCAGTACCAGAAAGTGATCTACAGGAGGCAAGTTATTTGAATTATCCTCAGGAATATGTGACTGCCAGATACTTGGTTTTTTTCCTTTTGTTGCTTCAGTTGCAGAGACTAAGAAATTACCAACCAGCAAGTTTCCCTTGTTAGCAGTTATGAAAGTGCAATCTGGGCTTTCGTACTTCGTAGCTGAGTGCCTTGGACTGATCACTCATAGAATAGATGTCATTAGCTGCAGCAACTTGACTGTCATCCTTTGCCGTAAGTGAATCCTTTTGGGAAGGTAGCCTTCCTAAAATAACTGGTTATTGATTGTTAACCAAGTTTCTACCAGTGTCAAACTGTACTTGGGAAACATAAAAAAATTACATGGGATTTTTAGGCCTTGGCTGTAGCATATGTCTTAATGCATGTACTTAAGCATGAGTTTTACCATTGTAATTATAAAATAGAAACTGCCTAGCTGAAAAAGACTACCAGCCTACATCATTCTGTTTGACAGGTTAGGTTGTATGTAGATGAAAGTAAAATACTGCGGACGCTGGAAATCTGAAACAAACACACAGAATGCTGGAGAACCTTTGCAGGCCTGGTAACATTTGTGGAGAGAGAAGCAGAGTTAATGTTTCAAGTCCAGTATGATTCAACTTACCAGTGTCAACATTATATCTGTTTCTCTGTCCCAGGGTGAAATGTAAACTTATGCTTGATGGTGACTTGTGGGTTACTTCAGATTGCTGCTTCAGTAGGACCAGTTTTAAACTATCCTGTGGATATTGTTTTAAAGTAAAGTAGCCCTTTCCTTTTGATGGCAGCAATTGATACACACGCATGAAAGATTTTGCATTTAGCAGAACTACAGGCTTTCTTTGTATGAACAACCTACTTTCCTTACTCACATCATCAAACTTGTCAACATAAAAGTAGACCATTCAATTTGTAAAGACTGCAATACAATACAGATTTTGCATGTATTAAACTTCAATTGTTTACAAAATTACAATTTTATTATACTTTGATTTTTCTAGACTTTAGGTGTTGCCAGTCAAAATGATCGTGCCACCATAAAGAAAAAACTTAAAGAAATGAAAAAAGCACAAGAAAAGGTAGAAAAACAAAGAGAGAAGGTTCAAAAGAAAGAAAAAGATCAACAGAGGAAAGTTGGTAAACAAGCCACCTCTGCAGAAATGATCTGTTAAATATGACTAAAATTGTGATGGAGATCACTTTAGGTTGTTGTGCTGTCAGTGTTATAGTATATTATATACTTCACAAACTACTTCATTCAGATATAAGAAAAGACAAATTTACATTAGTTTGACATTTCTATTAGATAAATTTATGGTACATTTTCGTGTGTTTGGACTAGGTTAATTTCTGTATATATTGTTAATACATTTTTGTAGGTTTATAATTCTATACAGTTTTAACTAGCTTTGACCTTATAATGGTAATAAATGAAATTAATATTTTAATAAAACCTAGAGCACCATTAAAAGTTGGTATAATACCTTAACAAAAGGGTTATGAGAAGTATCTTGAATGTCTAAATGTGATACAAGCTTACACTGCAAGAAAAAAGTCATTTATGTACAATTTTTTTTAGAAAATATAATGCAACCGTGAAACACTTAAAATTATACGAATGGGCTAGATTGCTCCAGGGTTTAAGATGCAGTTCACAAAAGGTGATAGATTTTATACTTACAATGCAAACTGTACAATTTGACATTTTTATAATTCCATTGCACATAAGGGCCAGCACTGTTTTGTATTTTTTCTCTAATCCTCTACACTGAGTTAATATGGGGATTTTTTTATCCAAAGAATAATGGGTAACTGGGGAGTGATTATAAGAAAATACATTGAACATTCTAATGTAGTAGACCACAAAGGCCATGCTTTGTGAGGGTTTTTATCCTGTGTGTCCAGGAGGAGATTGTTTTAATAACCATCTCTCCCACTGACAGATGTTGCTAATGTATAAGGCTGTATTACTTGGATGGTTCTTTACTTTCACTTTCTACACTTGTCTGATCTTTTTCACCCAAATGCCAGCTTTTGCTATTACTTGAAATCTTAAGCTTTTTGGATATGCTATTAGATTTTTTTGTATATCTCGTGTTGCTACACGTCAAGAATTCATTTAATACAATCTGAAATACTTTTATTCATTTCCTCTCCAATACACTATCAAAAGCTAAGTTATAGCGAATGATTATTTACTTGCATCTCTCCATTCCGTTTGGACAGCTTCCCCTTTATTTTCCTCTGGAATTTCTGTTGTTTTCCATGTTGCCTCATTGTTTCCCTTATCTCTGTATCTCAATTGCATTCTCCTCTATTCTCTATCTAACTTGGATATAGCACTAGTTTGATCAAGTTCAAACCTGGTGCCCCGAAGCTACCTGTATTCCCTTGTCAGACATTTTGTTTTAAATAGTACAATGAACTAAGTAAAATAAAATATTTTAACATAATTTCCATATTTTATTTAATGTTTCAATGAGATTTGGCAAATAATATTTAAACAACTAGGAGGAGATTATGCAAGAAAAGCAATTATTTTTGCAAAGTTTTGGCAGTTTTGAATTTTCACCTGAAAAATATCATTCATTTTTTAATGGCATTTGCCTGAATTGAAATTTCTGAAGTAAAAACTAAGCAGAGAGCCATTGTGTACTGTCATTGAAATATTAGGTTGAATATGTTGTGGGAAAGTACTTTATGACTGTGTGTCTTAATACCAATGACTGGATCCAGGATACTGCGATCAGTAGTTTGATGTAATTACTGCAACATGTATTATGAAATTGTATTATGGAACTGATCTTTGTATTCTTCTGGAAAGTTAGGTTTTCTTCTTTTGTTGCTAAACAAAACCTGTGACAAAAAAAGGAAAGAAAAATAGTTCGTTCCTTATTGTTTATCCATTGAATAAAAATGAATAATGATATAAATAAGGGTTTGTGGGATGCTGTTCCTTCAGGACTGTTACCTTTAACAGTCATGTACTCACTGCCTTTTTATCCCCCTTCCAAGTTACTCCATACAAGACTTTGCACCTTAGTTTGTCGAAGCTTTTTGTCTTCATAAGAGCATTTTGCAAGAATACAAATTCAAATGGGAAAAACAAAACATTTATACTGCAAGAGAGGAGAGTACTGATTGGTTAGCAAGTAGACAGTGATTGGTAGAAGCTTTGCCATGGAGGCTGCATCCATTAATGCTGTTTGACAGTTAACACCAGGCTTTCTTGAAATTTAGACCAGACAGGTTGAATGACTCCCCTATTTTGTTGTGTTGACACAGGAGCAGTGCATGTACATGTTCTATCTGCCAAGAAAGAACAGAACCTTCTATATTTAGGTATGTAGCTTCTTTAAATTGATTCACGGGATGTGGACGTCACTGGTTAGGCCAGTATTTATTGCCCATCCCTAATTGCTTAGAGGCAGTTAAGAGTCAATCACATTGCTATGGGTCTGGAATCACATGTAGACCAGGTAAGGATGATAGTTTCCTTCCCTAAAGCACATTAGTGAACCAGGTAGGTTTTTCCCAACAATCAACAATGGATTCATGGTCATCGTTAGACTCTTAATTCCAAATTTCTTTTTATTGAATTTAAATTCCACCATCTGCCATGGTGGGATTTGAATCCAAGTCCCCACAACATTACTTGGGTCTCTGGATTAACAGTTCAGTGATAATACCACTAGGCCATCGCTTCCCAGCTTCCGGAGCTTGGAATTGTGCCATACTGCAAGCCTGACCGTCTATCCTAAATTGATTGTCAGTATAATTCTTTGCACATTCAGGATTATCCAACAACTGTTTGACTGCAGAAACACATGTAACGTAAGGCAGTTTTTTAAAAGTTCATTTGTGGAATGTGGGCGTCGCTGGCTGCATTTCTTGCCCATCCCTAGTTGCCCTTGAGAAGGTGGTGGTGAGCTGCCTTCCTGAACTGCTGCAGTCCTCCTGCTGTGGGTTGACCAACAATGCTATTAGCGAGGGAATTCCAGGATTTTGACCCAACGAAGGAACGGTGATATATTTCCAAGTCAGGATGGTGAGTGACTTGGAGGAGAGCTTGAAGGTGGTGGAATTCACATATATCTACTGCTTGTTGTCCTTCTAGATGGAAGTGGTTATGGGTTTGGAAGGTGCTCTCTGAGGATCTTTGGTGAATTTCTGCAGTGCATCTTGCAGATAGTACACACTGCTGCTACTGAGCGTCAGTGGTGGAGGGAGTGGATGTTTGTAGACGTAGGGCCAATCAAACGGGCTGCTTTGTCCTGGATGGTGTCAAGCTCCTTGAGTGTTGTTGGGACTGCACTCATCGAGGCAAGTGGGGAGTATTCCATCACACTCCTGACTTGTGCCTCGTAGATGGTGGACAGGCTTTGAGGAGTCAGGAGGTGAGTTACTCGCCGCAGTATTCCCAGCTTCTGGCCTGCTTTTGTAGCCACTGTGTTTATGTGATGAGTCCGGTTGAGTTCTGGTCAATGGTAACCCCCAGAATGTTTATAGTGGGGGATTCAGTGAAGGGGCAGTGGTTAGATTGTCTCTTATTGGTGATGGTCATAGCCTGGCATTTGTGTGGCACGAATGCCACTTGTCACTTGTCAGCCCAAGCCTGGATATTGTCCAGATCTTGTTGCATGTGACCATGGACTGCTTCAGTATCTGAGGAGTCACGAATGGTGCTGAACATTGTGCAATCATTGCCGAACATCCCCACTTCTGACCTTATGATGGAGGGAAGGTCATTGATAAAGCAGCTGAGGACGGTTGGGCCGAGGACATTAACCTGAGGAACTCCTGCAGAGATGTCCTGGAGCTGAGATAATTGACCTCCTACAACCACAACCATCTTCCTATGTGTCAGGTATGACTTCAACCACTAGAGTGTTTGCCCCCGATACCCATTGTTTCCAGTTTTGCAAGCGCTCCTTGATGCCACACTCGGCCGAATGCAGCCTTGATGTCAAGGGCTGTCACTCTCACTTCACCTCTGGAATTCAGCTCTTTTGTCCATGTTTGAACCAAGGCTGTAATGAGATCAGGAGCTGTGTGGCCCTGGTGGACCCCAAGCTGGGCGTCACTAAGCAGGTTATTTCTGAACAGGTGCTGCTTGATAGCACTGTTGATGACACCTTCCGTCACTTTACTGATGATGGAGAGGAGACTGATGGGGCGGTAATTGGCCGGGTTGGATTTGTCCTGCTTTTTGTTCCTGCAGGACCTACTTGGGCAATTTTCCACATTGTCGCGTAGATACCAGTGTTGTAACTGTACTGGAACAGCTTGGCTAGGGGAGCAGCAAGTTCTGGAGCACAAGTCATCAATACTGTTGCCGGAATGCTGTCAGGGCCTGTAGTCTTTGCAGTATCCAGTTTATTGATATCGCGAGGAGTGAATCGAATTGGTTGAAGACTGGTATCTGTAACGCTTGGGGACCACTGGAGGAGGCTGAAATGGATCATCCACTCGGCACTTCTGGCTGAAGATTGCTGCGAATGCTTCAGCATTATCTTTTACACTGATGTGCTGGGCTCTTCCATCATTGAGGATGGGGATATTTATGGAGCCTCCTCCTCCAGTGAGTTGTTTAATTGTCCACCACCATTCATGACTGGATGTGGCAGGACTGCAGAGCTTAGATCTGATCCGTTGGTTGTGGGATCACTTAGCTCTGCCTATCACTTGCTGCTTTCGCTGTTTGGCGTGCAAGTATTCCTGTTTGGTGGCTTCACTAGGTTGACACCTCATGTTCAGATATGCCTGGTGCTGCTCCTGGCATGCCCTCCTGCACTCTCCATTGAACCAGGGTTGATCCCCTGGCTTGATGGTAACGGTTGAGTGGGGGATAGGCCGGGCCATGAGGTTACAGATTGTGCTGGAGTACAATTGCGAAGTTTGTCCCATTTAGCATGGTGATAGTGTCATACAATATGATGGAGGTTGTTCTCAGTGTGAAGGCAGAACTTCGTCTCCACAAGGACTGTGCGATGGTCACTCTTACCGATACTGCCATCGAGAGATGCAACTGCAGCTGACAGATTAGTAAGGATGAGGTCAAGTATATTTTTCCCTCTTGTTGGTTCCCTCACCACCTGCTGCAGACGCAGTCTCGCAGCTATGTCCTTTATGACCCAACCAGCTCGATTAGTAGTATTGCTGCTGAGCCATTCTTGGTGGTGAACATTGAAATTCCCCACCCTGAGTACGTTTTGTGCCTTTTCCATCCTCGGTGCTTCCTCTGAGTGTTGTTCAATGTGGAGGAGTACTGATTCATCAGCCGAGGGAGGACGGTATGTGGTAATCAGCAGGAGGTTTCCTTGCCCATGTTTAACTTGAAGCCATGAGACTTCACGTGGTCCGGCATCAACATTGAGGACTCCTAGAGCAACACCCTCCCGACTGTATACCACTGTGCCGCCCCCTTTGCTGGGCTTGTCCTGCCGGTGAGACAGGACATACCCAGGGATGGTGATGGTGGTGTCTGGGACATTGTCTGCAAGGTATGATTCTGTGAGTATGACGGTCAGGCTGTTGCTTGATTAGTCTGAGACAGCTCTCCCCATTTTGGCACTAACCCCCAGGTGTTAGTGAGGAGGACTTTGCATGGTCAACAGGGCTGTTCCTACCGTTGTCTTTTCTGGTGTCTAGATCGATACCAGGTGATCTGTCCAGTTTTATTTCTTTGACTCTTTGTAGCGATTGGTACATCTGAGTGGCTTGCTAGGCCATTTCAGAGGGCAATTGAGAGTCAACCACATTGCTGTGGGTCTGGAGTCACATGTAGGCCAGATCAGGTGAGGGTGGCAGATTTCCTCCCCTGAAGCACAGTCGTGAACCAGATGGGTTTTTCCTGACAATCAGCAATGATTTCATGGTGATCAGTAGATTCTTAATTCCAGGCTTTTCTTTTTTTGAGTTCCAATTCCACCATCTGCCATGGTGGGATTCGAACCCAGGTCCCCAGAACATCTGGGTTTCTGGATTAATATTCTAGCGATAATACCACTAGGCCATCGCCTACCCCAGGTGAGTTTTGCAAGTGCAGACTGATTGAGTGTTTTGCTTGTTAGAAGAAGGGATGTGCTGTTTAATACAATCTGCCAGCCCTTTCTGACGTGCCACCTCGACATCTGGCATCTCACTGGCACTGAAATTTATAAACCACATTACTCACATGTATTGAATGCCCTTTTGGCTTGATGGCAGCATCCTGTTAGTAGCAAGTGCTACTAGTCAGTATACATGTTGGAATTCCTACAATTCCATGTTTTAAGATTGGTCTTATCGAAACTTTGTAATTTAAGCTGAACCACTTCTTCACTGTGCAATTGATTCTGAAATAGGGCACATCAATGCACGTTTTGCAAGATAATAACTATCCAGATCAAATAATTTCTTGTATACCACATTAACGCATGAAAGGCATTAAGGCAGTCAGTCTTGGCCCTGTAAACTGCGCAGTCGATCTCAGATTACCCTTGAAATGTATGGTATCTTTAAAGGTTTAAACAACAGGTTTCACTGTTTCATGCTGTTTGTTTAATCATATCAAATAGCATATCCCTTTAGCTGGCCCATCAATTCAGGGACAGACGTACCCAATTAGCTTGCATTTATAAAACTTGTAACAGTGTCTCATATTAGTTGTGATTCTGCAATTGGACAGCATTTACTGAATTATCCTGAATATGCTAAGAAGTATACTGACAAACAATTGCACCACAACTGTTTAAACTAAAGAAGAGGTGATAGTTATTTGCTATTTCATTAGTCAGGGCATTGCCCTGAGAAATCAGCATCAATATATCTCATTTAGATATTTTCTAATCAACCTGTCCAGAGATGTTACAAAACTTTAGAGCAGATGGAGCTTGAACTCGGGCCTCTTCGTCCAGAGGTAAGGACACTACCATAGCACTACAAAGACCCTAAATATGTCAGGTTTAAAATTCAACAAAGAGTGCTAACTGTCAGTCGGCATTAATGGTGTATTCTTCATGGCAATGCCTTTACTCATCAGATTCCACTTGCCAACCAATTTGCCCTCTCCTCTTTGAATTTGTTTCCTTGTGAATTGTCCTGATGTACAGAATAAAAGGCTTCGGCAAAATGTCTTTTTGCAGCAATACTCAAGTTCTGTATTACCAAACAACTACTTTTTTAACTAAGTTTTTAAGTTTTCTTTGTGTAATGTGTTCTATTTCACTGATCTGTATGGAAGTGTAACAGTTCAATTGTATTTGATTGAAATCTGGTTTTCCTTTTCTAATGCTAGCAACATATTTAAATTATAAAAGGGTAACATTGGTCTCACTTTGACTACCTTTTTACATAAAGCATCACATAAATAAGGATCTTTAGGACATGTCCCTTTGCAAGATATTTCATCCACACTTATCCTGTGTGCTCGCTTCCTTTGCTGAAGTAAGCTGGTTGTATATTGTGCTCAGCTCTTTATAAAGTCTTCATACAAATAATGGACGATGGTGTTAGAATTCAGCATCACATCACTGCCTTTGAATGACTAATAAAAACTTTCAGTCCAGTTTGCGTTGATGTTATAACTAATTTTGCTGTGTGGAATTTTGCCTCAATTTCATCTTCGTTAAAAAAAGTAAGTGTTTTGGTTTTATAATTTGGTGACAAATCTTTACAAATAAAGAGATTTATTAGAGGCATCTGGATGAGCACATGAATAGGAAGGGTTTAGAAGGATATGGGCCAAATGCTGGCAAATAGGACTAGATTAATTTAGGATATCTGGTCGGTATGAATGAGTTTGACCAAAGGGTCTGTTTCCATGCTCTACAGCTCCACAACATAGGGGTGGAGGTGCATAGTTCCTTGAAAGTGGAGTTGCAGGAAGACGGGGTGGTGAATGCATTTGGCACACTTGCCTTCATTCCCCAGATTATTGATATAGGAGTTGGGACGCCGTGTTGTGGTTGTACAGGACATTAGTGAGGCCACTTTTGTGTACAGTTCTGGTTGCCCTGCTACAGGAAAATGTTATTAAACTTGAAAGAGTTCAGAAAAGAATTACAAGCATGTTGCAGGGATTGGAGGCTTTAAGCTATAGGGAAGGACTGAATAGGTTGGAGCTTTATTCCCTGGAGCATCAGAGGCTGAGGGGTGACCTTCTAGAGGTTTATAAAGTCATGAGGAGCAAGGATCAGGTGAATAACCAAAGTCCTTCTTCCCAAGGAATGGGAGTCCAAAACTAGAGGGCATAGGTATAAGGTGAAAGGGGAAAAGTTGAAAAGGAACCCGAGGGTTCCATGCAGAGGGTGATGCGTGTATGGAACAAGGTGGTGGAGGCGGCTACAATTACAATATTTAAAGGGCATCTGGATGAGTACATGAATAGTAAAGGTTTAGAGAGATAATAGCCAAATGCTGGCAAATGAGACTAGATCAGTTTCGGATATCTGGTTGGCGCATACAAGTTGGACCAAAGGGTCTGTTTCTCTGTATGACTCTGACTGTTCACTGCCAAGCACTCGGTTTGTAAATGGGCAGTGGAATAAGTTCTTTCATGTTGCATTTCAAATTCTGAAGATCCTTAGGCAAGAGGAAGACTTGCTCTGCTTAGCGTGTGACTTTATCATGAACCAGTGTGCAACATTTTAAAGCGCACACATTTGCAAACTTAACCCTTTCAAGCATTGAGTAAAAGAGAGCAATTTGTAATTTCTGTACTTCTGACAAACTGCTTACATTTTGGTATGACTATCCTCATTTCCAGGGTGTAGTTCATCCAATATAAAGGTCCCTCCTTTACCTCCCTGATTTGTAACTTTCTTACGTCTCCTACATCAGAATCCAAGTGAGAATTCAGATAAGCTTTCATAGATTAAAAAAAATTGTGTGACCAGAATACCTTCAAACATTCTCCCATTCTCAAAGAATGAGAGCCCTGCTTGAAGATTAATTATGTCTGCACTAGATTGCTACTGTTACATGACAGTACCAATGTATTTCCATTCACACCTTCAGGATGTAGCTGTTAGACTGTGTCTGCAGCAGATGGTGAGGGAACCAACAAGTGTGGAAAATCTACCCAACCCCATCCTCACCAGTCTAAATATTGCAGGTGTATCTGTCCATGATAGTATCTGTAGCAGTGGGCACTTGTGCAAACCAAGTCCTGTCTTCGCATTGAGTATATCTTCCATCTTTTTGTATAGCATTACACTGTACTAAGTGGGACATATTTAAAACAGATCTAGCAATTCAAGGGGCATCCATGAGACAATGTGCATGGTCATCAGAATTGCATTCACCCACAATATACAGCCTCATGGCCTGGAATATCCTTGACCAGCTGTAAGAAACTTTTATTAAGAGGATAGATTGGAGAAGTTGGACTGTTTTGCTCAGAAAGAAGATGACTAAAAGGCGATTTCACAGTTTTCAAAATCATAATAGACCTAGACAGTGTAGAAACTATCACTGCTCGTAAGAGGATCGAGAACCAGAGGCACAGGTTCAATGTGTTTTACAACAGAAGCAAATGTGAGGGGAACAGTTTGGGTCTGGAATGCGCTGAAAGTGTAGTAAAGGCAGGTTCAACTGCAGCATTTAACAGGGCATTAGATTATTATTTAAATAGAAACTGTACAAGGGTCTGAGGAAAAGGCAGGAGATTAAATAAATCAAAATGTTCATAGAATCAGTGAAGACTTGACAGGCCAAATAGCTTCATTCTGCACCGTGAGTATTCTGAGATTATCAAGCTAGAAGATCAATCCTGGTTCAATGAACAATGCAGAAAGGCATCCTAGGAGCTGCACCAATCATTCTAAAATATTAGATGTCAAATTGGTGAAGCTACAACATAGGACAACTTGCAGGCCAAATTGCACAAGCAGTGTGCAATAGTCAGACTAAGTAACCTCTCAACTATGCTGTACGGTTCTGACACATCCAAACGTAAATGGTGGTAGACAAGTTAACAACAGGAGGTTGTGGCACCACAACTACCTCTATCTAAATGATGGGGAAGCCCCGCACATCACTGCAAAAGACTAAGCTGAAGTATTTACATCTGTGTTCAGCCATGTGCCAAATGGATAGAAGATCGTGGCTTCCTCCCTTAGTCTCAGCGTCACAGTGTCGAAATGATTCAATCCGCTCCATATGATATCTTGAAACAGCTGAAAACACGGATGCTACAAAAGGTATGGGTCATAACAACATTCCACCAATAGTACTGAAAATTTGTGTGCCAGAATTAGCTGCATACCTAGTCACTGGCATCTATTCAACAATGTGGAAAACTGCGCAAAAAAATTTCAACCTTGTCAATATCGCTCTATCAGTTTGCTCTTGATCATCGGCGACGTAACAGAAGTGGGGGTACTACCAAGTAGTACTTGCAAAGGAATAACCTACTTGCTTAATGCTCAGTATGGATTCCGCTGGGGCCACCCAGCTCCTGACTTTAGCCATGGTCCTGGGACTAAGGAGCTGAACTCCAGGCCTATAGTGACTACCCTTGACATAGAGGCAGCAAGGAGCCCACACAAAATGGCAGTCAATAGGAATTGAAGGGGGAAGGAAATTCTCTGGTTGAAGTCATACCTAGCACAAAGGAAATGGTTCTGGTTGTTGGAGGTCAGTTGTTTCAGCACCAAGACATCAGTGCAAGAGTTTCTTAGAGTAGTGAGACCCAACCATATTTAGTAACTTCACAGTTGACCTTCATTAGGTGAATTTTTGCTGCTGATTGCACAATGAATAGAACAATTCATGCCTCCTCAGATCCAGAAGCAATCCTTGTCCTGGGCAACATCCAGGCTTGGGCTGACAAGCAGAAAATAACATTCACACCTCACACGTGAAACAATGATCATTTCCAACAAGAGAGGATCTGACCATTGCCCCTTGATATTCAATGGCGTCACCATTACTGAATCCCCCATGTACAAATTTCTCAGGCTTGCATTTAATGCGAAACTGAACTGGACTATCTGTATAAATTCTGTGGCTACGGAGCAAGTCAGAAGCTGAGTACGCTGTGATAACTCACCTCCTGCATCCCAAAACCCTATCCACTATCAAAAAATTAGAAATGTAATGTAATTCTCTCACTGGCTTGGATGAGTGCAAATCCAACAACTTTTGAGAAGTTTATAGCCATTTAGCACAAAGCAGTCTGCGTGATTGGCACCACATCCGCTACCTTCCACATTCAACTTGCACTACTGATGTACAGTGGCAGCATTGTGTATCAGCAACAAGATGCACTGCAGAAATTCAATAAGGGTCCTCCAACAGTACCTTCCAAACCCGTGACACCTACCTCCTAGAAGGACAAGGACAGTACATGTATGGGAACAACCACCTGCAATTTTTTCTCCACATCACACATCATCTTGACTGGAAAATATACTACTATTCCTTCGCAGTCGCTGGGTCAAATCCTGGAATTTACTTCCAAGCAGAGCAGTGGCCGTGCCTACAACGAAGGACTGCAGCAGATCAAGAAGGCAGATCGCCACCATCTTCTCCACGGTAATTAGGTAAGGGCAATAAATATTGGCACCCACATCCCATGAACTAACAAAAATAAATTAGTCCTGTCTTATTTTGAGCAGCACAATTGTTTCTCATAATTAGAGACCTTCATACTTGACAGAAGTTTTTTCCTTTGTCATGTTGATATGTAGCTGGCTAATGTCCAAACAGCTTCAACCTTTTAGAATTAAAATATGAAGAATTATACATATTAACTTCTATTTCAATAGTTTCTTTTTAGAAACTCGAGACAATATGATTATCATTGTATTTTGTGATTAGACTAACATAAAATAAAGATGGAAAAATGCATTGGTGATAATTTCTATGTATATTAGAATTAATAGTTAAATGTTTCATCAAAAATGATGAGCTGGGTGGGACACTAGCCAGGAAGCCTGGAAAGCAAATCCCTGTCGTGGTTACTTAGTGGCTCCCTGGGGCCTTTGTTCAAAGGCAGACAGTTCCTGTTAGTGGGACCCAGTGTTGGCAAGGGGAGGCCCCTTGTGAGTCAAACCTTTGGCCTTCCTGCAAAGGATAGGAAGGGAGTTTCACCACGTCTAGCAATTAAAGGTGTATTTATCTATGATGGAGTAATAAAAATTGTGGCTGTGCAAGAGACTAAAATTGAAGGAGTGCAGTTGGGAATGTTGTCCAGTTGGAGGAGGTTACAGACATAGATGAGGGGCTAAGTCACAGAGAAATTTGAAAATGAGAATTTTAAAGTGGATGTAAGACTGGACTAGTGATGTCAGTGAGCACAGGTAATCGGTAAATGTAGAATTTCACGGTCACAAACATCCTTTTTTAAAAATCCTGTTAATCTAGAGGAATACATTTCTATATTCCAGTTAAATGTGGAATCTATTTGAGAAATGCACCATTGGAATTTAGAGTTGTGACAAGTTTTGTAGTTTACTTTGAAACACATCATTACCATAAGACCATAAGAAATAGGAACCAATTGCCAGTGATCAAGAATCTATCTATCTTAGCCGTAAATGTACACAAGGGTTCTGCCCCTAC